CCCTGCCCATCCTGTGTGCCTCTGCGACACATCCTCTGTATCTATTTTGACGTTTATCGCTGGTTGCTCTGAACTGTGTGTGGTGGGGAGGTCCTCAGAGGTAGCTAGACATTGCTGGGTTCTAAGCGTCTTTAGAAGTAGGGCTTTCTTAAAATGCACTCGGGATATAATGAGGTGAAAATGAGGAGGCTAAAGTGGATCCTGCTTCTTTTAAACAATTATGTTCTTGTTGAAACCAAAATTACTTTCTTGTTTTAAAGGGATATAAAAAATGTTCTTCAGACCTAAAAGGACTCAGCAATCCTTTCCAATAGTTCTATTTTAACAAAGAACGGTTTTAAAAACCCTAAATCAAGCTGGATTGTGGTGGTGAACACAACACCTTTAATCCCAGCACTCGGGAGGCAGAGGCATGTGGTTCTCTGTGAGTTCCAGCTCAGAACTGGTCTACAAAGCCAGTTCCAGGACAGCCAGGACTGGTTCACAGAAAAGCCCTGTCTTGAAAAAACGACAACAACAAACCAACCAACCAACTAAACAAACAAACAAAAGAACCCCAAACCCTAAATTAATCTTTAATCTGAAAACGATTAAGTATTTCATTGAACTCAGTATATTTTTTAATATGCTTACTTTTTGAGATGAGTCTCATTTTGTACCCCAGACTGGCCTGAAACTTACTATGTAGTTCAGACTGACTTAGAGCTTGCAGCAATTCACCTGTTTAACTTCTCAAACTCTGGGATTATAAATGTGACTCACCACACCCAGCTCTTAATCAGTATTTTAATCACAAGTAGAAAACTGCTACTTTGTACCACAGAGTCAGAATCAACAGCACAACCTAAGACCTTTAAACTCAAGAAGGCTCTTCCCAATAGACCAGATATCTTACCTTGAATAAAGGAGAAAGAACATTGTTAAAAACTAAATAACAACACAAAAAAAGGAAAAAAAAAAAGGCAGTGCAGTAATATACACAGAGAAAATGAATTCACTCAAAATCAGTATACAGCCAAGTGTGGTGGTTCACACTGTAGTCCCAACCAGAAGGGAGGCAGAAGATGAAAGATTTTGGTAAGCTCCAGGCCAGCCTGGGCTACAGGGTTAAACCATGTTTATAAAGAGAAAAAAAAGAAAATAAAAAGAAGAAAAGAAAAACAGTATACATTACATACTTAAAAAAGGAAAGAAAAACCAGGCTGTGGTGGTGCACGCCTTTAATCCCAGCACTTGGGGAGGCAGAGGCAGGTGGATCTCTGTGAGTTCGAGTCCAGCCTGGTCTACAAGAGCTAGTTCCAGGACAGGCTCCAAAACCACAAAGAAACCCTGTCTCGAAAAACCAAAAAAAAAAAAAGAAAGAAAAGAAAAAGAAAAAAAAACCTTTTCTCTTTCAGAAAATGTCAATAACATCAAGGAAAGTATTTGTATAGTAAACTTTAATTTTAAAAAAGTAGCATTTATAATTTTAAGACCTTTTACTTTGTAGAGATGAAATGACTAGATACAGTGGGAATGGGAATAACTCTGAGATTCTCCTCTGAGATATTTCAATGTGTTTGAATGACCGTGGGGCTTAACAGGTGGGGCTCACAGTTTCGGAAGAGTAGTAATCCACCAGGGCTCTGTTGAGAGCACACAGCCACATGTGTGGTCTCTCATCAACGCCTAGGCACAGGCAGCAGTTCCCACATCTGACACAATTAAAACCATCCGGATCTATAATCACCAGATCCCTCATCCGTTCCCCGACCTCTCCCATATCACTGCTGCTGATCCTTCTGCCTCTCTCTCTCAAACGCCAGGGATGGCAGGCCTGTTGCACCACACCCAGCCTGAATTCGCTGGTTCTCATCTGAGCAGTCATATACCAGTTTGAATGTGAGCTAGATACAGAGGAAAGCTGTCCTGTAATGTCCCCTTCCTGATGGATCTTGCTCAGCATTCAGACACGTGGGATCAAAGAATCAGTTCTGAATTTCAGTCTTACTGGGTTCCAATTCAAACAAATCTGTCTGTCTATCCTTCTGTCTATCTATCTATCTATCTATCTATCTATCTATATTCATCTATCAATCTATCATCTATCTGTCTGCCTGTCTCTATCCATCTATGTATCTATCTATGTATCTATGTATGTATGTATGTATCTATCTATCTATCTATCTATCATCTCTCTAGACAGCTTTCCTCTGTATCTAGCTCACATTCAAACTGATATATGACTGCTCAGATGAGAACCAGTGAATTCAGGCTGGGTGTGGTGCAACAGGCCTGCCATCCCCGGCGTTTGAGAGAGAGAGGCAGAAGGATCAGGAGTCCCAGGTCAGCCAAGGCTACACGAGATTGTCACAAGCAAACAAATGAACAACACAACAAAAGCCCACCCAGTTTTCTTTCCCATCCTGCAGAGTATGGGCTGGGAAATCTGCCTTTCCAGCCAGAATCCATCTCTATTGCTCTGTACTTTCCGAGGCCCCTCAAGGGCACTGAGGCAGTGAGCAAGTGTTTTTATTACATAAGCGTCTAAATACTAGTTCTGCCACTCAGCATACATGGGGGAAAAAAGATAAATTTTTGGGATGATAATTTCTTTCTTTCTTTCTTTCCTTCTTTTTTTGAGACAGGTTTCGAACTCACTATGCAATAGATAGAGGGTGACCTTGAACTCCTAATCTTCCTGCTTGTTCTCTGCCCCATTTCTATGTTGCTGGGGATCAGGCTGCAGACTTTATCCATGCTAGGCCAGTACTCTACCAACAGAGCCACACTCCAACCCCTAATTTCCTTTTTCAAAAATGGTGCTATTAATATCTATTGATTTCATGGGAAGTATCAGTACTTAGGTACTGTATGCCAGTGGGTATATCAGGGTGGAACTCAGTAATGGGTAGCTATTACCAGGCATGGTGGCCCAAGGCTGCAATTTGGAAGGCAGAACAGGAGGCCGTCAAGGTTGAAGCTAGGCTAAGCTACATAGGAGCTACAAAGAAAGGCTAGAAAAAAAAAGTGTGTATGTTTTGGGGGTTGTAGTGGTTATGATGAAGTTAGCAATAATGCAGATAAAGGGGCAGATGATGGCTCCTTCCTGAACACCTTCCATATATTTTAATTTCTCGTAAAGGCTAGTCTGAACCTGACTGTCAGCCTTTCTCCAGGACATATTAAAAGTCAGGGCACAGTAAAGATAACCTGCAATGAATGACGGAGTGTGCACGGATAGTACTTAGTGTTTCAGTTTCCTGTTCTGAGCTGACTTACCTACATATGTTTCTTCCATTCCTGGGGGAAAACACCTCATGGTAGTAAATGTGGCGTGTTTATGGGAGTCGGGAGCACTATTTTCTTTTTCCACTTAGCTTCACAAAGTGGGGTCAACAAACCCTGAGTGCTTCACAGAACTAATACTGAGTTCCCAGTATGGTGGTGGTTCTCAAGAATTCTGTTTCCTCTGGCAATTCTAGTAACTGAAATACAGTATAGAGCAGGAACTAACACGTGGATTCTTTGTAGAGTCCGTCGGAATGCACAGTCAAGCCCAGTAGAGCTACAGTTTGAACTGTCCAAAGTACAAGGAAGAAGGAAGTCAGCCTACCTGGACATGCGCTGAGTGACAGGGTCATTTAGGACCTGCCTAAGATGCCATTCTGTTTGCAAACATGAACCACCTGCCATATCACACAGAAGAAATAATTCCATGGAAGAGCCCAGAGGCAAATGAGTCATGTTAAAAGTGTCCCATGCATCGTTTTGGAGATGACTCCATAGGCATCAATTAAACATGGAAAAGGCATGTTCTAAAGCATGGCCATCTGGCATTTCCCAAGGAACTGTAGTTAAGGGCCAGTAAAACAAAAGGGATCGTAACTGTAACAAGATTTTTCAACCTTTCCCTTGTTCAGCAGCAGCGAAGGCCCATGAGGACAAAGATCCTGGAAGAGCTCCAAAAGAAGAGGTGAGCCAAGCAAAACCTGCATCCACAGCCAGCATTCCTCTTCCCCGTGCATAGAAAGCAGACGGAGGTGGCATGAGGTCATCTTTTAAGGCAGACAACAGCAGACCGATCCAGGGAATGCTTGTGAGTTTGTCTTACACTCTAAAGGTGAACTTTAACTGCTACATGTCCAGGAAAGAGAAAGAACAGGTCCATCCTTTGCTCCTCGAGTCCCTTCTAAGTGCCAGCATCACAGGACTGGGCTCATCTCATCAAGCCAAACTCAGTGTGGTCTTAAAATTCTTCCCAAGATAACTATGCCCTAACAATGCATTTAGTGAAAAGATTAAGCAATTGCCTGAGAGTCAAGCTGTAAAGCCTCTGGCAGGAAATGCGACAGGAGCAGAGGTACTTTTCAAGGCTACAGTTCTAGACCAGCCAAGCAGACACCTGTGTATATATAGACAAAGCTTCAAACACCATCACTTCATCACACCTAATGACTGTCTGCGAGGACAGCTTGCATCCTCTATTTCTGGCTTTTCCCAACAACAAAACTATGTGTCTTCATATCCAGCCCCAAGTTTGAACCTATTTTCTAACATTTATCTGACTTTTTTTTTCACACAAGGGCAGATAAACAAAAAAGATACATTTTTTAAGCTTCAATTTTGATCCAGAGCTAATTTTATTAACGACTTTTTATCCATCATCTTTGATCCCCCCCGTTTCCTTAAATGATTCAAGACAAGGAGCCCTTCACATACCGGGGGCTCAGTCTTAAGAAGGTTAGCATTCTTAGATCAAGGCTGTATGTATAAACAGAATAAAAACAACAAAACAGCAGTGCCGTGTCCCTTTCTTCCGTCTGTCCCTTTTGCTAGTGATGCAGTCTGCTTGCCCCTCTTTAAATCTTAACCTTCCTGTTAAGTTTTTTATTTGGAAATAAAAGAGATCACTGACAATTATTGTTTTTATCAACACAACAGCAAACAACCCAGCCCACTAACAAACACTAAAATGGCAGAATTAAACACAATGTGAACAAGTAATTATAGACGAGTACCTGGGATTGCCAGATTGGAAAGGGGGACGTTGTGGAGGTGAGGGGGGAGCGAGGCCATCCAGTCGGCATTGCAGACCTCCGAGGCCGCCTTTGTCCCGCTGGGATTGGGAGAGCAGATGGTCCCCATCCTGAGTTTCCTCCTGGCCTTTCTAAATGCTAGCATCCCTCTTGTCCACGAATTAGACAGGCTCAGCCTTGAGCCAGTCACTCTGTGATCATCACCGCTCGGGGCTCTCTAGACATTTCAGAGCCACATGGGTCACGCCAGCCTTTTCAAGATGCTTTTCTGCCTGGGAGAAGGGTCAAATAGGTGCTTCCCTAGCCGCTGCGCCCGCAGTCCCCACCCTCTCCGCCTCGCCTCTGAGATCTACTCCTTTAATCTCCTCAGTGTCCCTGCTCAGTTAAACTTCTTAGTCCCCCTCTGGAGACGGGGGAGGCAGGCCCGAAGACACACAAACCTCACTGACACTCACGGCATCCAGGAACAGCCACACCCGCAGCTACTCACACGACAGGTGCCCACAGGGCATAGAGACATGCCAGAGGGCTGCACACACGTGCGCGCCCGGGTTGCATCATCTCTAGTTCACGGGTGCTTCCGTGGGTGTCGCTGGGCTAGTACACAAGCTGGGCCTGCCTGCCACCCGCCTCCCCAGCTTCTCTGCCCCCTGCCCTGTGCTTTCCTGAAAGGCTCTCAGAAGAGTAACCGGCGGCCCCGGGACTCTGGCGGCCCCGCCCCGCACTGCCGGGCAGATTTGCCCGGCTAGGCGAGCTGTGATTGGTCGTCGACGGAGTGCGCTATGATTGGTCGACGTTCTGGGGGCCCGCCCCTGCATCCCGCTCCCACGCCTCCCCTGCCTGTTAGCTCCTCCCTTCTCCACTCCAGACCCCTTGCGTGTGGACTGGCTGAGCTGCGGCCTGCTGTCCCCTAAGGGGAAATGTGCACTGTGCCGGCTGTCTTCAGATTGATCTTTCCAGCTGGATCTTCGAGGCGACCACAAATAGTTCTCCCCTTTCCCTCCGCCTTGCACTCACTGTGGTGAAAATTACCCAGAAAGCACTCCATTTTCGGCAAACCACGAAAGCAGCCGGAACGGGAGAGCTAGAGAGGTGCTGCGGCTAGTATTTGGATGAGAGCTATCGAAGGACGGTTTGTGTTTGAGACGTTGCAAACTGACAGTTTCCCTACGCAGGCGGCTTGCAAAGCAGAAAGGGTTGCTGAAACACTTCCTTCTAATGGATGAAACAAGCCCGAGGCAGGTCACATGGGACAGTCTGTGCAAACCTCATTTTGAAATTTCCCTAACCTCTTTTCCCTAACCTGGTCTGTAGAGCACAGACCCATTTCTCTGCTGGCTGAAATGTTCCCACTTCAAATAGTACTTAAATGTAGTACAGAATTCCATGACCTGATCTGATTGCTTAGAACTCATATTACATTTGCAGATTTCTTGTATGTGTTTATCTGTGAGCATGTCCATGTGAAGTTCAGCGGATTGAATGTGAATGCTTCCCTTCACTCCTTCCATGATGGGGATCCCAGGGATCTGGCCAGTTAAAGAAGAATCGCACTGGTAATTTGCAAACAGGCAAATTTATTTTAAAATGAGGTGGCCTTGATGGTAGGAAGGGCCCTGGAGACCGAGGAGGGCCTTAGGGAAGAAGAAAACCGAGTCCAGGACTCAGGCAAGTAGAGCATCAGAGGCTCCCGTCCAGAACCCTAGGCCAGCTGTCATTTAATCACCAAATGACCCAACTTCATCTCTGTTCTGTAGCCACAGTTCCCGAGGCACAGTGGTGCCTTTTGACATACTTTTTCTTCTTCTCGGATATTCTTAACATTCATTTAAACTAGCTTCCATGCATAAATTTACTAAGTCTCCATGGAGGAGTGTTGCTTGACAGCTCATTAAAAGAAAGTATATAATATTTATCTTGAATCTTCTGGTGTTTAAAGGGCATTGCAGTATATAGTGTTCTTTTAATGATACCACAAGATCTTACCAATATGTCACCTAGCTGTTAGACTCAACAAAATCTCCCCACAAGACAAAAAGTCCCTCGAGCAGTGTCTCAAGATTTGTTTTGCAGATTCCACATTTCTGGTCTTCCTTTGAGTATATACGTATGTATTTAGTTTCCAGACAAAAACAGTCTTCTGGGAGCTAAGATCCACAAAATGTGCTTTTGAAACTCAGCTGTAGAGTGTCCCTTGCTCTGCCGCTTCTCCTGTATTCTTGGTATTGAACCGACAGTGGTACCAAGCGTTGAGGAGCTCTGTTCAGACGCCTTCTGTAGGTGAAGCAGGGATCTTTGACTTACACTGTAGAAAATCACGCCAGGATAGTCCTTGTGAAGCAAAGCTGGAATTTAGGAAGATTTTAATGGGACTGGTGTGTAGCTCAGTTGGAAGAGTGCTGGCCTAGCATGGACCAAATCTTTGGTTGCAGCCCCAGCGCCACGTAAACCAAGTATGGTGGTGCATGTCTATGATCCCAACATTCCAGAGGATGAAGCAAGATCAACCCCAGCCTTCGGTACATAGTGAGTTTGCGGATAGCTTGGGCTGCATAATAAGTCTGGTCATGGTGGCTCATATCTATAATCCTAGCACTTAGGAACATGAGAAAAGAGGATACAGATTTGAATCCAGTCTAGTCTGCATTAAATAAGACCCTGTTTTCAATGGACTTGGCATTGATATCACCCCATATATATATATATATATATATATATATATATATATTACAAATAAATTGTCTCCCATTCTACCTCGACTTCCATTGTTTTGGCTCCAAATTTCTCCTGCATGGTCATTTGGAAAATTGTAAACCTTTATCCAGAGATGAAAATTTAATTTCTTTGGATCCATTGCTTCAATAGTCTGACTGCCAAAGAGAGAGGTACAGATGTCTCTAGACTATACTCATATAATGATATTTTATTTGTATTTTAATAAATAAAACTTGCCCGATTCCAGAGAATAAAACAGCAGCCCTGGTCAGCCTTATAAACTAGGCAGTGATAACATACACCTTTAATTCCTGTAGCCACACTTGTTTGCCATAGATACTAGTGGTAGTGGTGCATGCCTTTAATCCCAGCACTAGAGAGGAATATAAGAAGGAGGAGACAACTCTCAGACACGGTCTCATTCTGAGAATTCCTGGAGGCAGGATCGTCATTTCAGACTGAGGTAGAGGTAAGAGCCAGTGGCTGACTGTTTTGCTTTACTGACTTCAGGCTGAACCCTAATATCTGTCTCTGATTTTTATTAATTGTGCTACATATTCATTTCTTCCAGGCAGGCTGGTTACAACCATGTTTGTCTGTGTTTTATTATTTTCCCTTTCTCCTTCCCTCTAGTCCCTCCTTTGTCTCCTCTTCCTTTTCCCATCTTTTCTCCCCCCATTCATTCCTTTCCTGTTGGAGTATGGACATGGATCAAAGAATCCCAGATAACACCAAAAGATTTCAATTATTATTTTTGTTTATTATAAGGAACAAACTCACGGAACAGGAATGAGAAGTCCAACCTCAGGTGTGTAACATGGGAACCAGAGAGAGCGAGCCCTGGGTGCTCCAGTGGTTTTCTCTGGGTACCCAAAACATCATCCCTAACCTGGCCCAACCTCTTAAAGATCATTGACTGACAAAGGTTCCCTATCACCTCCACCTTTTGTCTAAATAATAGAGTTTCAAACCCAATTTATACATTAGGAACAGATATCAAGTATAAAATTAGGATTACAACCAGGGTAAACAAGGAACACATGTTAAATGTTTTATCCTAAAGAGTTTAAGTCTTATATTGGAAATGGCTTGGTTAAATTATACGAGGAAGGTAACTACGACTAATTAATCTTTAAATCCATCAAATGCCTAAGAACGGAGATAATATTACTTGAGTAGGCAGGAAGTGCAATCCAGTAGCTTCCAACATGTGTGGTATATGACAGAGACAGCTGGCTACCTGAGCAATCACCCAAAGTCTCATTTACAATGTTGAAGCAACCAACTTTGGCTAAGGTCTAGAGTAACTGACAGACCATTTTTAGAGGCAGGAAAAACTTCAGAACTGTCTTACCCTGTCTTGGTAAGGTTTGGCAGTCTTTTTTCTTGTGACCTGCTTATCCAGCCTGGACACCATGTACTTTGTCAGTGGTCGAGGAATGGGCAATTTCTTGCACAAAGGCCAATTGTTCCAAGAAGAAAACAAACTCCAAGTGGAGTGAGTGTCTTTGGTACTCAACATTTTCTCGGGAATAGATTGATGCTATCATGAACACTCGTATTTCACATCAACAAATCCCTAAGTTATTTAAATGCCATGTTTTACAGATCCTTGAAGTGGTTGAAGATTACCTATCTATGTAGAATACAATCTCTATGTATCTAAAGAACCTAATTAATCTGACTAAATGTATAACAAACATGAATAACTATTAACTTATAATACTAAATACATGTATAACTTAAAAACTAAGACTTTATATCAGAATATTAAATAATCTGTAAATAACTGTGCAGTAAATGAGAACAATGACCTCAGAATGTACATAATGTGTAAGTATCTTAATCAGAGGTAGAAATATATAATGTAATATGATAAAATATCCTAAAAAATGTATCAATATATAAAATGTCTTAAACAGAGGTAGAAACATGCATGCATACAATCTGATAGAATAACTTTTCATAGGTGTACAAATATTGTAAACAGAAATAGCAAATATAATTTGAACCTGTATCAATATACAAGAAACTATACCAATGTAAATTGTTCATAAATTATAGCTCACATGTATTTACTTTATTACTCACTATCATTATTATTATTATTATTATTATTATTATTATTATTATTATTATTAGTGTGAGTAAGTTCACAACTAAGTTACCTATTATCCCATTCAATTTTCCTTCTCTCTTTTTTTAAGGAGATCTCTGGGCCTAGATAATTTTTACCCCAACCCTTTACCCTATAGAAGTAATAGTCAACTCCTAAATGGTGTCCCCAGCCCTGAGGAAAAACTATGTTGGAGAGTTAATGCAAGTCAAAGAATCCCAAGCTAACACCAAAATATTTGAAATACACACACACACACACACACACACACACACACACACACATATTATAAAGGGCAAACTCACAAAACAGGAACAAGAAGTCCAACCTCAGGTGTGTGACCAGAGAGAGCAAGTCCTGGGTGGTGGTAGGCTGGTGGTTTTCTCTGGGTACCCAAAAGGTCATGCCTTAACCTGGTTCAACCTGTTAAAGGTCACTAAGTAACGGCGGTTTCCAATCACTTTCTGTTTCTCTTTCTTTGCAGAATGGGCCACAAAGAACCAAACATACTCTAGAACTTACTATGGAACTAAATAGCACTTTGGATTCCTGAATGGTGAGGTATTGGGTAGGAAAACCAGGGATGAGAATAAAGAAGATGAGAACTTCTTTATTAACTCCTTTAAAGCAGGAGGATGAAAGCAATAGCTGGGCCCAGGAGATCTCACATGAGCTGATGACTGTGCCAAGTAAATGTATTAAGAAGTACAGCACCATTTTTATGACTTGCAGGGGGATATGATCAAGGTTAGTGGAGAGCTAAGTCAGACAATGTCAGCAAAGAGAACAAGGTATACTTCCAACCTATCTGCCCAAGGGCTATTATATAACCATAGCCCAAAGAGAAGAACCATAGTCCCCATAGTTCCCAGAAGCTGCAACCT